AAAAGAGCTTTCCTGTTTTTCCCAGGACTGCCAGACCTTTACCTTTATTTTGGCAACCCATCATTGACTTGCTATTTTACTTATCCTTCAATAACAATTTAATTTAATCATTTAGAGTCACATTTMTATCAGTGCTGACATTTAGCCAGGGATGCTGTGTCACCTAAAGAGCTCCCCACTATCATTGTTTGCTTGCTGCAATGGAGCTYATGGGGCTCTGAGGGTGCAGGCATGTGGCAGTGGCAGCTAGCACACGGATTCCTCACATCTTGTCCTTTTGATAAAACACCTCTGCAATACCAGTGTGTTGCCTTATCCCACGATTTCACACATCAGCTGCCATGGTATCTGCCCCAAGAGTCCCATCAGCATGGCTCTGATGAGCCAGCCCCACTCACCTCTGGCATGTCCGTGCTCAGCACCCGYACGGCTGCCCCAAGGAAGTCTCCGATCAGCATTGTGAAGCCAGGCAGACCCAGGAAGAAGAACCATGGTGGGCAGTGCTTTATGACGGTGTTCAAGATGTCCTGCAAAAGAACATACCTGTGAGATAAGCCAGAAAAACCAAAAGCAAACAGGAGAGTTCAAGAAGATTTAACTTTGAGGTTCACTAGTCCCACACTGATCAAGGTGCAAATTCCCAGAGCTTTGGRTGCAAACTGACCTCCAGGTAATCAACACCTTCCACTCCAGAGGTGTGGAGTAACAAAAGGGCATTTGGTATTTAGGTGACATTTGTATCCTTAAATTCCTGTTAAAAACCCACACCACGAAGCCATGTTTCTTTGYGCCTAAGCACAACCATTGTGTTAAGTAAGTATTTGGATTCGAAGCATCCAAATGTTTAAAAGATTTAAGATGAAGCATTGCAGGACACTGAGTGAGAGTTCCTAAAATGTCTCAGAATTCCACACSACAAGAACACCAGCTGCCCCGAAGGTCGGCTCCCTATGCCCTGAAGGAACAGACTAGCAGCCTCAGCATGCTGTGGTATCGAGCACATTTGAGCCAAGCATTTCATCTTTAATCCTTCCACATTTCAAGTTTTCACAGTCTCTCCAAATCAGAGCAAAGTTCCAATATTTGAGTTAAGATTTCTTCTCTGTGAGTTTTGCAGGTTTAAAATTAGGCCTAAAATCGATATTATCCTTACTTACAACATTCTATTTGCTGAAGAGTTAGATCATGCTATTTCTATACTGAGTAGAAAATTATTTTCCACTCAATAAAACTTCGAAAAGTTGCAAAGGAAAACCCTTTTCCATGTCCATCCTTATTGGTTTCACAATGTGTCAAAGATAGCCTGAACTTAGAATCACAGAATGTATCAATGTGCTCAATCTCTACAGCAGAAGCCAAAGCTGACAAAACCAATTTTCGCTACATGAAGAGATGCTTTAACATCACCACTATTTTCTCAAAGCCCTGCTAAACACCTGCAYAGCCCCTACTTAGTGTTCCATGTTTTCACCACCAGCATCCTATGAAATAACTGTTATATATTTAAATAAACAGTAATAGTTTTTAACATAGTAGCAGATAATGCTTTCACTTTCCTGAATAAGCTAAAATGCCACTCGAGTTAATGTTTAAACTTGTTTTAATCACTTCCTTTGATACATTTTAAGTCAATATGGGTCAATGCAAACAATGAGAACCAGAGCAGATGGATGCAGCAGCTCATAAAGCGGGTGGTAAACTCTCAGTCGGAGCAGAACAAAGGACCCACCTTGTTATAATTAAGGGCTGATTAACGCTCTGTGCTGGTCCAGGCACACCACACCTGTAMAGCAGAGCCAGGTACGGCTGTGCTGGCCCCTAATCAGGGCAGCAGATGGGAGCAGGCTGCTGTTGACATGTGCCACCATAAAAGAGCCTGGGCTAACCTGGCCAGGGAGGTGGTGGCGGTGGAAGCACAGGGACCTGCCTCAAACAACTGCATTAACTCCTGTCCTCACCTCATTGCTCCCAACTGTCACACACCAAGGCCCTGATTCTGGCCACTCTGGCCCTGCACCGTGCACTGAACACTTTCAACAGGGGGGTGGAGAAAAACAACAAAACTGTTACTGTAATATATGAATGCTGTGCAGCACATAAGTTCCAAAACACTGCAAGAGTGGGGCTGAAGCAATCTACTTGCTGRTTACGAGATGTAGTATTACTAAAAATCCATCATTTTCCATAGGGAGAAAGTTTTCAAAAATTTACTTTGAAAACCTCTTGAAGCAGTCCTTGACTTCCCTTTGAATTTCCAGTATGGGCTGCTCACTGCAGTGACACACACAGGAACCATCTCCCTAAGRCCCAGAAACAAACCCGCTCAGCCGGGCTCATCTCAGGCATTCCTCGGTGCACTTTGGATGACTTCAGCTCAGGCCAGGCAGGTTGTACCCTGTCTGTGGGCATTGTTCTTCTGCGCAAGAAGGGTCAGAACAAGCCCAGGACAGTGCTCAAAGGTAACCTGCCAGGTTTTGTTCCCTTTCCCAATCAGCAAAACACCCGACTCACAAACTGGGGCAGCAATCTGGTAGCTTTGGGAGCTTATCAGCAGAGAGAGGCTTGTGAGAAGGCGAGGGAAYGAGAACATCTGTGCTATCAGCGATACTGCAAAAATCAGGTAATTCAAACAGAGCYGGGCCGCTTCCTTCCCTTCCCTGCAAACGTAAACTCTGGGCAGCAGCTCCCAGCCTAGTCAATGAATCACTTTAATTGAATGCTATGTACACAGCAACTGGAAAACACAAGCCATAAGAAAAACATATGGTGATGGCCATGAAAATTGGTTTACTCATTCTGCACAGCATTGTTGCTTTACTTCTTTCATAATTGACCTTTAGAACGATAAATGTGTAAAATAATTTTGGTTTATTATGGCTCCAAACCTTTCAGCAATTACACAAAATGAAAATTTAAAAGGAAGTATTCATTCTGGAAGCATTTCCATTGTTTACATAATTGCACAGCTATAATTTAGTGTTCATGTTGTTAAAGAAAAGTGAAAAAAAGGACCATTATGGACTATTTCAATTCAAAATGATGCTCTGTAGTGTTAAAGCTGGGGAAGAGGGGAGAGGAGGGGGCAATCACATGCATGTCCCTCTCAAATGCATTAACCCTATAAATGGCATCATATTTCAATATAGGTTAATCTAGTAATTCAAATTATAAGGTCATAAACATCCACTGAGTAAGTGAAATAAATTTATGCAAGTTCACTGAAAGGTCAATTGCAAAAATATTCTTCACCTAATTTTTGTTCAAGCTTTTGCAGATTACAGGTGTAACCAAATAGCCTGCCAGCTGCCTTCCTCACGTTTCCAATTGTCCCTCAACAGGAACAACATGGATTTTTCACTGAAAGTTCACTCTGTTCCTCACTGACAGACACCTCACTAGCAGCTGAGATTTACAGCATAGGAAAGATTATTAATTTACAGAAGACATAAGTGGTAAATCTTCCCTTTTTCTTTTTTTACTTTAAAGGAACAAACACTTCCATTTACTTATTTCCATGTTTTCCTGCCTATCATTACATTTCAGGTAAGAGTCAACTCCTCAAAAATTAAGTTCCAATAAAAATTCAGAAGTATTTTGACAACCTCAGCAGATCCAGGATTATCTTATCAAAAAAACTTCATTTCAAAGTACCACTTAAAACCTAACCCCAAAACAGCCACATTTGCCCAAGTACCTCAAGGCTGGAACACAATACAGGGAGTTTTAAATTTTTTCCCATTTTGGAGCATGTTTGATACTTTCACAACTGGGGAGAGCATTCTGATTAAAGGACTGGAATGAATATTTTGGTTCCTGTACACACAGAAAGCAACCCCTGAGCACCCAGTGGACACAGGGGACAAAGGTGTGGGTAACAAGGCCACCACACTGACTGGAATGTGGAGATGGCTTTGTGTCACCACACACATCTCTCCCAAATGCCTGTGGCAAGGACTGCTCCAAAMTCCGACAGACACAACACTGACCACAAAACAAGAATTTGGGTGAGATGGAAGCAACTGAGGAAGGGCAAATGTATTAAAGCAAAATAAATAGAAAAGGAAAAAAACCCACCAAAATAATTTCAGAATGCACAGCTCCTACAATTGGCATGACCTGGCTCCCCCTTGCTTCCAGTCAATCTTCCAGCTATTTTCCCCAGCACTTCCCACTAACCCTGCTCTGGGCAAGCAGAGGGGGATGTGAGAGTTCCTGTGAGACCCTGGCATTTGGACTTTTGTTTGTCCCTACTGGAAACACACTGTCTGTTAACACTTTTTCAAAGCACTCAAAGCACATAATGGGAGCACACAGGCAAATTTTCTACAGAAAATGAGATAAGGGGTGGATTAAAAGAGGGAGAAAATCATGGTAGTCATTGGAAAGAAGTCTTGAGAAGCTAAAATAGGGAAATCTAAGCCTTAATAGACTACATTAAGGTTATTTCCTTTTAAATGGCAGTCTGAGAAAGAATCTAAATGGCATTATGGTTTCTGTACAACCATGGGTCCTCGTGTGCAACACCATCAGGCACAAATCCAGGCAAGAAGTACCCATTCCACAGGAGACAAAAGCAAAGCTACTCATTTATTGTACCTTTGCAAGGCTACTGCTGCTRTACACTACTCCTGGCTGCTGAGTAACAACTGGACAGAAAGATATAAAAGCCCACAAATGTAGTGGATTTCTTTAATGTCAAACCAATGATAGTACAAACAGATAATTAATGACTCCTCTGGTAGCAGCTCTAGTGAAAAATGCTTCCTATTACAAATCAGCCATTTCCCACACAGAGAGCTCCAGTCAGTGYTTCCACAGAAGCTTATTGCAGAGCTGCAGCAGCTCCCTTTCCATAATCACCTACAGTGMATTTTGAACAAATAAAGAGGCTTATGGACCACGTACATCGGTACCTCACCACCTCTGTTGACAGAGCCTCTCATCCACGGCATCCTTTCACTGCTAAAAGGAATTGAGCTAAAACAAAGCTGTTAAGTGCCCTGACTGCAGCCAGGCTGTGCTCCATGGGCAGGCCTGCTGCATGTGCTGACATTTAATCACCCAGGACATCTGCCAGCTCAGCTGGACTGGGGCTATTTTCCTCTTATTCCATATTTAAAGTTTGYTCTGCTCTTCATATCACTGAACTGAAAAACCCACCAGCAGAGCCCCTTTCCTTGGTTGTCCATTGTCCTTTGCACAGAAAACCTCAGAAGTCTCTATGTTTGATTATGCTCTCTAAAAATGTAAGTATCCAATTCCAGAGGTYCTCCGGCAAGTAAGTATGACCATAYTCTTATTAAATTTATTTGTTAAACTCATTCATAAAGTCAGGAATACAACTGAACCCTTGGTCACTTTGCAGGTAACACCTCAGTGCTGCTGACAGGTAACACCAGGCACAATAATTGATGTTCACCCTACTAATAGGGTGACTGGCTAAAAAACTACACTGAACACCTGAGGGTTGAAACTTGAAAAAGGATTGAAAATCTGCTTCTTTTTAGAGTCCCTACAAGGTAAGCACCTCACCTGCACTGCCTTCTCCTCTCAAACTGCACGTGGAAATTTAGACAGAAACAAGAAACCACATCACAAAAAGTCACAGAATTCTTAGGAGAAAACCACCAGCAACCTCCAAGGATTATTTAAGTACCAGAAGGACCAGAGCTGAAAAATTACAATTACATCAACAGTTGTTTTTCTGAGAAGTGTTCATAGCTTTTTTGGATTGTGTTTCAGTAATTCTGTTTTTCAGCAAAAAAGGAGGAAACTATGGAGCAAGGAGACACTTAGGGACTTTTTCAGGAATAAAGAAACAAGTATTGCTACAGCAAACAGCCACTAGCAATAATAAAATACATTTCCTGGTTCAGGTATCAGTAAAATTTGTGTGTTGCCGTGTTAAGATTTTGGATTAATTAAAAAAAGTTGCATTTATTGTCCAACTCAAAAGACACAACCCAGTTGCAACTGCTGGAATAGGGGTTTTCCAACCATCAAGCTCACCTGGCAGCAGAAGGCAGCTATGCCTACCCAAACTGCAGCAGCTATACCATACCATCCCTACAAACCACAMCCCAGGAACATTTTCTGATTTCTAGTCATCTAACCACAAATAAACTAACGCCCAAAGTGGTAGTGAACATCCCAATTCTCTTTCCTTCATGCTGGCAGCCAGGGAGGGGAGGTTGTGAGCTCAATGAGCTTCATTCATAAAAAAAACCTAGGAAAATAATCCAGGCTTACTCCAGCAGCAGAGCAATGCCACTGGCTGGRGCAGAGCAGGAGTGAGGCAACTCCCACAGATGGTCACTTGGCCCCTGACCCTGGGCCCCCTCCCAGCCCTCCCTGACCGTGGCTCACTCCATGTGGCCGTTGGCCTCATGGCTTCTCCCACCTGGAAAGGTGATGCAATCCTTGCAGAGAATTGTTCACTTCTCCAGGGATGTTTCCTGTTAGACACCTCCACATGGATAAATTAGCTGCAGCTCATTACCCCACTGTCTCCTCTGCTGAGCTAATTGCTACATCCTGGGCTCAGAGTGCCATGGGAACCTTGCATAAAATACACCCTCACACTGCTCTTTTATGCACCTCTTGAGACCAGGCTTCAAAGTTGGAGGTGCTGGGAATAACACTGTACTCATTTATAACATATTCAAAAATGGATTATTTTGTTTCTCTATCAACACCAAAAGCTACACAATACAACAGCAATTTCCTATTCTCACATCCTTAAATGAAGAATGAAAAGAGAAGTACCGTTTGAAAAAAACATTTTTCATGCAAGCCAAAATACTGAAAATCATTCAGGTCAGAAACCTCCTTGACTGTAATACTTTTAATTATGTAACAACCTAAAAAGCTCTTTTAAAGTAGCCAAGGTGATTTCCTGGAGCTGGGCTGTCTTTCTGCAGCTTTCCCACATAAATGCTAAAAGTTGTACCGTGATCCATACAGAAGGAAAATTCCTCCATGAGACACCTCCTACACTTGCTTCTGAATATTACTTAAAAGKGAGAAATCTATTCCTGTGCTTTGCAAACAAATCCAATCTGTGCTATAAAGTCTGCCCCCAAGTTTATTTCGGTTTGCACTGACTTAAACCCTGGAAACCATGCTAGGATCCCYGTTTCAGTGATTCAGTATCCTGTGATTCCACAGCCTCTCTGATCAAAAGGCTCCCACTACCTGAGCACCCAGCAAATACCTTGGAGCCAATCATCCTGGAAATAGAGGAACAGGTATAAGGATCCTGCTTCCTATCATCACATTGCTCCAAGGCACTGCCAGTTAACACCTTACCCCATTCCACAGCTAAGGAAAGCACAACGGGAAGGACACACACACACCAGCAAACCTGTGGTCAAGTGTGCCACCAAGAGGCAAACATAGCCACCGGAATGGGGAGGAAGAACAAAGAGCAGCATTAGTCTGCAAAATATCCAGGGAAACCATGGAGGGATGGGCAGTGAGTGTGGGGCTACAAAATATCTGGGAAACCCTGGAGCAATGTGCAGCTSCAGCAGGACTTCCAGGATTTTCCAGGAAAAAAAAAAACCCTGCTTTTCTATTCTTATCTTTTTAAAAGGAGTTTGAATGTTTTCCAAATGCTCTGACTTTGCAGGAAAGGAACTGAGTTGCGGGCAAGAGTCTGGTAACAATTCCTTCTTTCCCTATTCCATCTCAGAAATAACCAAACCTGTCCAGATTCCTGAAGGCACAAGCACAACTCCCAGAATTTCCCAAGGGGTCCCTGGGCCCCCAACATAGCTTCGGCCCTTGCTCTCATTCCTACAGCTCTAAAAACCTTGAAGTAATCTTAGATAGTCTTTATTTTGTCAAAAGAATATTTTTAGTAGTTTCTATGAGCATTAAGCTGTTTCTGTGGGACAATAATCATCKGACAGCTCCACTAAGACTTTTCCTCACTTCACACTGAACACTTTATTCCTCAGCCCAYCCCAGGACAGAGAGACCTGAAACAATTTTTATCCACAGTAGCAGAATGTTTTGACAGCATCTCGTGGCTGCCATGGCACAGGACAGTCAGAAGGGCATTCAGGGAGCAGTGACACATTAAGCAAAGCTTGTACCTGGTCTTCGCTTGTCAGGCCCAGGCGCATCACGAAATAGAAGTGCACCAGGAAGTCGGAGTTGGGCAGCAGGTCCTGGCGCCGGCTCATCATGGCACAGAGCAGCCTGAACGCCTGCAGCTTCCCCTCCTTGTACTCGCTGGGCAGCATGGCTGCCTGCAACAAYAAAACCATGGATTATTCCTTGCTTTCCCCACTAGCCAGCTAATGTAAAGCTGCATCTCCAGCAGCTCTCCCATAAAGCACRTACAACTTATATTCAGGTCCAAAGAGCCTTTGGAGGGCATTTGCCATCTGAGCCAGCAGTGATTGTAAAAGTTAAAAATATGACAGCTAAACAGGCACCAATTCAGGTCTGATATAGAAGAAAATGTGGAGGTGTGAGAATTTCAGAACTAACCTTAAACAACCATGATGCAAAGATCCTGAGAGGTGGGATGAGGACAGGAGGAGAGGGGGTTGACTGATTGTCCACGCTGATAGCRAGGTTGTCCCGGATCTAATAATTTTAAAAGAAGAGTGTTAGCAATAGCAATAGCTTACTTTTTTAAGGTTCTTTATTTCACATRATTATATTTTAATTTTACTTTCTTTACATTCAGGCATTACACCCTGTGCTATACAGAGTTCCCACTTCAGCCAAAGCCACCAGGAAAGCTTGTTCTATGCTGCTGCTCCCTGGCCAAAGCAAACATTACCAGTTTGAGTCACACTGTGGGCCTTTACACAAATACCACTGTCTGTACTGCCTTTTTCTTTGCTACTGTTACCTCATTCCATTTAAGTTCTCCTGTCATTGGACAGGATTCTCTATTGGAGTTAACTACTGGAAACCAAACAAGAGAAAGCTTCCTTTAGGACAAAACCCTCCCATGCCATGCKTATGCTCATGCTCCAGGTGCTAACACTGAATCCTATTTAATAATCATTTCTACAACAAAAGAAAAGTCGTTATCACTAGCTGTAAGTGCCACATACCTTTGCAAGTTTATACCACAGTTCATACAGGTAGCAAAAAACTTTTGCATGGATTTTAGGTGACTGTATATTGTTCACATCTCCAAGAATTCCCAGGATCCTCCTCCATAACACAGCAGCAGAATCAGGATGCCAACCAATAAGGTTTCCACCAGCAATTATACTGCAATCRTCAGCCAGGAACTCACTACTGTCTGTAAATTCAAAGTGTTCCATTTCCACAAGTTAGAAGTGCAGTGTAAGTATGAATTTGGTCAACAAAATCTCTAACCATCTTCCATCTCAAAAGAATTCTCTCCCTCAAATCTCTTTCATTGTTCAAGCTGCTTGTGAGTCAAAGAAAAACACAGCAGCAAACACAGGAAAAGGGACTCCCAGGTGACAATGCCACAGAGCACAGCACTGCCATACCACACTGTCCCCATCCCAGTGGGGTTTTCAGCAGGGGAGCAAATGCAATAAAATGCAACATTCATGTACCTGAGGGATGTATTCGATCAATAACTGGCTCTTACAGGTAATATTTCTACATTTATAAAAGTAATTTCTTTCTTTCTTTCAAGATCACAGTGTAGCAAGACCCAGCAATGCAACCAGAGAAAGGAATAAAAAACACACTGCTGAAGAGTCTTGAGCAATGTGCTCAGGCATCACCATTCACACAGAGCAGCCCCTGAGAGAGCAGAGTGCACAGAAAGCAGAGCCTGTAGGAGACTGTCAGGATAATGGAAGTTATATTCGTAAACAGTAAAAAACCCAGTCCCATACTGAAGTGCACATTTTAATGACAAGAGCTGGTAGCTGCTCYCCTATCCTCAGGCAGGAGCACACCCATGCTCCAGGTGTACCTGCAGCAGCCAAGGTGGGGAGTAAAGTTACAGGAAAACTCTATACAAGCAGAAGGAAATAATTCATGTCCTCTGAGGACTCAAGGAGGGTTAGTGAAATAAAAGGCATTTTATGTTTGAATATATTTTAAAAACAACTTAGGGAATTTTTTCCCACTTTTTGTGATGTAGCCTAACGAAGTTCCAAAGTGCTAAACCAGATGTTATTTATTAAGTACATTAGAATGATCTTGTACAGATCTGTCCCCAGGGAAATGGCATCTCTGCTGCTCAGTAGTGGTGTCAGTGTTGTTCTGCCTTACACTGTTTGATTTCCACAGCAAAGTTGTTACTTGGGTGAGAAACAGGAATGCAGTCAAGGGCATATAGGCTCTGCTGGACAATGACACATCTGTTATCCCACCTCTCCTTTCACTCCATATTACCTTGCAGGTTACTATATGTGATGCTCTYTCTTTGTACCACCAAAGGAGCAATTCTTGCATCACAACCATAAACAGTGAATTTATCATACATGATTATCCTTACTATGGGCACTACTACCCTTTTTACAATGTCAGTCTGAGCTGGACTGGGTGTGCTGTTTCACTAAAGCAGAGATAATTCAAAGGAAAAGTGGATATGAAATATTATCCTTGAAACTGTATCTGTTAGGAAACCGGCCTGTAAGATATTCCTATGTTACTGCATTAGCATCTGACTCACATCACTAGATGAAAGGCACTTTCACAAATGGCAAAGAATGAACCAGTTATTTCCTATCAGACAAAAAATACAGTAAGACATTTCCTTAGACCATTTTGCTATGAAATAAAGCCTATTACACTGAAACATAAATTAGTGTATTGTACTTGAACACTGGGCCAGCTCATGAAAGACCAGCTACCACAGCCTAGCTGGGCAGCAGTGGCATTGTAARAAGCCCAGCTTTTTTCAACTGGATGGTGGCTTTCTGGATCATTATTTATTGGCAAAAAGATTCATTATCCAAACTCCTTCGACTCTGGGTGTGCAAAACTATTCTGAATGAGCATGATGAAGGGCGCTTAGTGTTACATGCCCATATAAGCCAAGAGTCCAAGATCCTCTTTGGGATACAAGTGTGAGCTCATACTCAGTTTGGGGCCTGCAGTACCTGTGAGGTTGGCGGGCTCCTGTGAGGGACTGAGCTGGAGCCAGCGTGGAGCTGCAGGATCCACACACATTCCTGTGGCTGCTCCGGCCTCGGGGTCGTCCTCAGCTGCCTGCCAGGCCACCAGCGTGATGTCCATGTCGGCCCCACAGCCCAGGGATGTGTCACTGCTCACACTCTCACCTGCAACCACAAACAGCACAGCCCTGGGCTCACAYCTGTGCCTAAAGGCTGCAGCAGCAGAGCACCTAAGAAAAGTGTCTCAGCTGTCTGCAACAAGATAGAATTACAACACTAATTTCAATGGTGGCACTTCAGAAAAACACTTTGTTGGAACTCACTTTTTTCTCTCTCTCTGTAATATCCATGTGATTGCTGCAAGTCTGCTTTCAGATCTAGCTCAATTATACTACTGCTCCTCTGCATTAGCACCTGCAGAGAAAAAAAATCATCTCAACTCACACAGCTTTGAGAACTACACCACATTCTAGCTAATTTCACACACACAGTCATTAGAAATTAACTACAACCCAGTCAAGACATTCTCATGAATATTCAGTCTACTCAAGTCTCTGTCAATGTCTTTAGGAAAACAATGTACTTTCCATTTCAGTCTTTATCCCCCCTTTCATAACCTCAGTTTTCACATCAACAAGCAGGAGTTTTTTACCTATGTTTTTCAAACACATCTGAAGTAATTTGTTAAGGTATAAAAAAAACCTTGCAGCTTTCATATTCCACAAAGACGATCAGGCTGAGTCATTTATGATTTCAACTGCTCACTCAAAAGTTGCCATTAAAAATGTATGAAGTTTGCCTGTGCTAATGTCAGCTCACACTAACATCTGCCATGCACGGCTGGTGATAAGAACTGTGCTGAAGAGAAGCATTTTCATCAGTACTTTAAACCATCAAACATTTATTCCAGTGTACCATAGCTCTCTAATAGCCATGAATTATTTATCTTTTACTAGTTAGGAACTTCTTGTTGATGTTTAATATTTCAAAAAAGAAGAAAAGTCTTGTATAAGACAAGAATAGAGATACACCTGCACAAGCAGCTGATGAGATCAGGAGATGCAAAATGATCACACCMAGCAGGACAATAACCAACAGCTCAGTTCCAGACAACATGCTAGAAATGGGATTGAACACTTTTCACACTTAGACTTCCCAGAGTTTCTAAATACTAAAAGGCATCTGATTAGAAAGAAAACACTGCTAGAATCTTATCAGTAATGACTTTCAGGTTTGTCTTACTTGCTCCACTTCATGCTCCTTTGCACATCCCCTATTTTCCTGAACTGATTTGGAGTCTGAAGTTGAATTTCCAGCCTTTTTACCTAGAAATTTTAGAAAGGAAACAAGAACTATAAACATTTGCGGGACCAAAACACATAGCAAGTCATAYGCAAATTTCAGTGACGTTTATGTATCTCATATTTACAGTTAAGGGAGGCAATACAACACTCAAATGGGATACAAGACACTTTGAAAAACCCTTCAGAACCATAACATACTTACAAGAGAGGAAAACATACTTACAGGAGAAGAACTGAACTCCAACTGCAGCTTGAATACATAGAATTTAAATGCAAATCAGGTGAAAAAAAGTCGAAGAGTTACATACAAAATGCACACACATTCCAGGTTTCATTCTTGGCCTCCCAGCTTTACAAAAGGTCACATCCTGCATTTATGGTCTCTAACTTCTTAAAAACAGTTCTTTCAAAAACAGTTCTTTCAACAACTTAGCAATTACRTATTGACTAAGAAAATGAGATAAAAACCATTTTAGAGAAGAGCTGGAAACCAAGGTAAATGAGAGCTTAATTTATAATGCTGCATAAGTCTCAACACTTTTGCTTCAGAAAGACAACATTGCTGTATTTCATTAAAATTACCTTGAAAAAAATCAGATGGAGTCTGATCTGCAATATCTGAAGTGCTGCTACTTCGAGCTAGCTGCTGCTCTTGGTCTGCAAATGGGCCTGCTGCTTCTGTTCCTTCTGAATTTTCCAGCTGTTGAGATTCTTCAACTTCTGTTGATATAATTAAAAGACAAAATATTTGCAGGAGCTCATGTATACATGCGTGAACTCCTCGACTAAGAAAGCTCTATGAAAAAGTGACCCTTGCAAACAAAATTCCCAAGGTAAAATGTACAAGTTCTAATTTAAGTTCTATCCTTAGAAAAATTGCCAAGTTTAGAGAGAGAGACATGAGCAATGTAAAAGGTCTAGAAAAGGCCATAAGTGACTCTGGGGGTTGACAAAAGGGAGAGGAGGAGGTCCCATGAACAAAGCTGTGTTTTTAGTGCTGAAGACCCAAACAGATCCCTGCTCCTTCTGGAAATAGAAAGAACAGGGTAGAAGGAGCAAAACTCTCTTAAATGCAGTGTGGCTGCACTCCCTGAGCCCTTTCAGGAAGTGGGGGAATAAAGAATGGCAAGTTCAGAGAAAAAAAAAAAAGGCTCTGAGCTATGTATGACTTAAGCTTAGCTTGTGAGGACAAATCCAATCAAGCACCTTTTGGTTTGGCTGTAACTGCAAGTGAGGAGAGTGAGGCATGAAAATTCCAAAGAAAAAGTAAACTAACATGCTGGGGAAGGAGCAACAGGAACTCTTGAGATTAGAGAGTAACACAGTGCTTTTAGAAATGCATTTCTCTTAGGATTGGAAAAAAAACCCACAGAAAACTAGTAACACTCTAACATTTCCATCCAGCAGTGTCAAAGTTTTAATATTGCTTTATTACTTACTATACATTSTAAGTATTTCAGAAAGTTATCTCAGGAGACACATGCACAAAAACTAACATTTCTAGTATTTACCGACTTCAGCTGATTTTCAATGTCCTACAGAAAGCAATAATATAAAATATTCAATTCAATTCACTAGTTGGAACCATTTCAGTGTTCCTCCTAAGATAACTTGAGATGAAAACACACCAAAGATATTTCACAGAGCAAGAATCCCTACAGGGCCATAAAGCACCACACACAAAACTCTTCTTCTCTTGCTACTGCAGCTAAGGACTGTGGGTAGAATACAGGAGTCACAAATCCCTCCCAGGAAGTGAAATTAGGAATTTTTACTTTAGTCACTAAGCAATATAAATCCAACCATAACTGATGGTAATCTTTAATAACAACGGGAAGAAAAACTGCTTTGGTTGCACTGCTGCAAACAGCTGGAGAAGAACTAACTGGACAGAAAGGGTACAGACAGAGAGCAGTTAAAAAATATAAAGAACATTGATATAAAAGATGACTTTCAAGTACAGTACCTGACAGTCTGTGAGAGCAAGAAGTGTAAGAGATACCAGGGAAGAGAGAGCTCACAGTGTGAAGCAGAAGAGGTACACTTTTAGTAGCTGGCAAAGCCTCATAAAGATGGACACAGTTGCTGATAGACTGGCTTCGCTTAGCTTACAAGAAAAAATAGAGCAACAATTATGTCAGGCAACACAATAAAATATTGCAGTTCTGAGTGTCACAATGCAACAAAACCCAATGTTTTGGGCTAAAGCTTTATAACAGTAAGCCCAGGAGTTTCACCCCTGAGATATAAGTTAACATTGTACAACACTCTCTCACACTGAAGTGGCGATAATTAGGGATTTGTGATCCACAGCAAATGTGGAAATACCTTTAATTTGAACACACACAAACAAGAAAAGCCCTGGATCAACACTTCCAGGTTCTCCCTACTGCTCTGGCAGGATGTCAGTGGGAGAAAATGCTGCAGCAGTAGAGAGAATCCTCCACTGGAGCAGAAACAGGGACTTGCTGAATTTAGAAATAAAACACACTCAGACTGAATTGACTCTGCTGCCAAAGAGCTCTGTGATCCATGCTGAAGGTGGTGGCTCAGTTATGGAGCCTGCAGCCACAAACCAACTGAGTGCCCTCCCTCCTTCCAGCTCTCCTGGTAAGGAACCAGGGCTATGCAGCCTGGCAGCTCCTGCTCAAAGGAGGGGATTTCCATGGGAGCCTGGATCCACAGCCCAGTGAATTGGCACATGGAAACATGCTGCCTTCATGGCAGAAGAGAGAGAGGCCACGTTCAGGCTGTTGAAATGCTTAAACAAGCAGAGATCTGTTTCATGTGTGGAGTCTCAGCCATTGCCCCAGCATTCCTCACCCCAGTCTCCCTTCTCCTGCTTTCCTTTTTCCAGAAGTAATCAGGAGATGAAAAAACTCAACATGCCAAGAAAAAGAGAGCTAATAAAGCATCTATCAAAGGACAAAATTATTTATTAAATACCTGGTTTACCCTTGTGCTCCCAGGAAATAGTTCTATCAATATCAGTTATCTTCCTGACAGTAATAAATGATTTCTTAGGAACTAAGATAAAAATAGCAATGTACTTCCCTAGAAAAACCCCTAATGTGCACAGATTTAACTTGCAATCCAATGTCCTCTAGGTAAAAGCTTATATATAGGATTTCCCAAGATACCTTGGCTCTATGATTCACACTGCCCAAGACACGGACATGCAGCATCTCTGTTGGGGCAGTTAATTATTAAACTGCTTTTGGAAGCAGCCACCCCTCCAAGGCAGATTTAAAACTTGAGTGTTACTGAGTGTTTGTGTACCAAAGCACTTCGCTGCAATCTTACCTGTGGCCCTCTGACGGACAATGTTTCTTGCTTTCTCCACTCCCGGGGCCCCAGAGGTTGTAGCACTTCTGAATCTCATTGGCTCCACAACTTCAGGATGACTTTTCCAGCTTAATGAAAAAGATCTTCCCACTACAGCTGTTTTCTGAGGCTCTAAAACACCACCTTAGGACAAAGAACACAAAATTTTCTGGCAYTGGGTGCTTTGGAATATATTTTGCTGGAGCATGAATGGACTCAGACATGACAAAAATCAATACTTTAAACAACAGATTAAGTTCTACTATTAATAAAAACCAACTGGTACTTCAAGCATGTGCATCAATTTCAAGGTGGCATGTAAGCACAGCTAAAATACTGTAAATCAAAGTTTAATAAAAACACACAGTGAGGAATTTTACAGAGTTGCCTGTGCCAGCCTACAGCACAGAAAACCACATTTCATTTCTGTTACCCAGAAAACACTGACTGTAGGTGCATACCCCAGCCTGCYGAACAAGCCAGCTACTGTTCCTCTCCAATGAAGGATGACAATACACAAATCCAAAGTGCTGCACATTTCATTAGACAGGTTCTTACACCAGATTAAGTAGCATGCAACATTAGATTAAATTAAATTAATTTTTAAGGTTAAGCTTCAATATTTAACTGATTTGATATAAAAAGCACGGAAGCACAAAGACCAACCTTTGCCTCTCTGCTTTTTTTCTTTCTGTTCACTGAGCTTATCCAGGGGCAGGTTTGTCATCTCCACACCATACACGGTCCTGGCCAGCACTGCAGTCAGGGAGTCCATGATGTTGGCCCACTCATTGATGAGCTCCTCCCAGTCCGTCAGGGAGGACAGGACACTGAGCAGCTCATCCCACAGCTCCCGAGAGATATAAACGCTCAGGTTTGCTCTGATCCAAGCCACAATGAGGGTCTGYGGGAAGAGACACCAGTGGCAGCTCAGGCAGATATGGCAAGATGAGTTCARCACACWCAGCCCARCCCACACGCTGATGAAGTCAACTCYGACCTGCACATCAGCACAGGCTCTTGGTGAGGCACAGCTGCTGTGCAGTGCTACTTTCTCTCAAAACACTCCCACAAATAATGGGGAAAGTTGCTGACGAAGGAAGTCTAGAGATATTTCAGGCTTTCTAAATGTTGTCTGGCAAACTGAAATACACCTTGCAGTAACAGCAGAAGGAAGGACTGTCCTATTCTGACAGAGCAACTGCAGGGACTGAATTCTGGGGCAGCACTACACAGCTACAGTGTCCAGGCCTGCAAATACAACAGGATGCACAAATATCTAATCTCACTCAATGTAACTCAAGTTTTGACTTGCCAGCTGGAGTTTTAGGAAAACAGTCACTTGAATCTTACATTCTAGAGATACTCACTGAATATATCCCACAGAGGCCGTGTGCCCACCTGTACTRCCACAGATTATAACAGAATCCCAAAGAACAGAGCAAATTCAACTCTTGCTCTGTTAGGAACAGTTCACAAAGTAATTACTAGTAAAACACTAGTAAAAACCCACCCTTCACAGTAATACAAGCAGGTTTCATAGTACTTAACTAAAACCATGGGCAATTGTGACAGAACAAACCAAACMGCCCCATTTACTCACTCGGAACAGCAGCCCTGCCATGCTCTGAGCAAATGTGTCCTTTGTCTGGTTCTCTTTCGGCTTCTGCATCACAGCTTCTGTTATTCTGAGGAGTATCTGCAGCATCTGTTCCCTGGTTCCAAAACAAAGTGTGTTCTATTAATTACACTTGTTCATTAATTCTCCAGCAAGCCTTATTTATTGCAAATGCAGTCACACTTCAGACTTTACAGATCATTTGCAAAACAACTTATTTGGCTGTGGACTGTAAAAACTTTTTCTCCTAAATGATGCTATATKAAGCTTACCATGTCTTTCTATTCATTGACAGCTCCATTATCATGCGCCTGAAGATACTGAGAACRGCTTTGCAAGCATCCACTTGCTCCTTCAGCAGCACAGGGACCTCAGTGCACGGCTCCAACAGGAAAACATTTGCTGAATTTGTCAGGAATACCTTCAACGGAGGCATTGACAGTCCATTTGCACAGTGTTATGAATGAAAACAGTCAAGACAAACAAAATACTTTGYGCTCATTTAGTTAAAACTTTCCTTCTCCTTAGAGGAAGTTTAATGTTTTATCCATCACTTTATTTTTATCACCTGGCTGTGATATACCAGCCAGGTGCCATCACAGACCCACCAAAGCATGCATGGCTCAGTATGGGGTTTGTGGGTGTCTTCTGTTTGGGCAGGCAAAAGGACATTCCTCCAGTCACTCATTTCCTACTGCCATTTGCTTAAACAACCACCAGTACTTTCAATAAGTAAAATTCAGCAATAGTAATTACTGATTAGTTCTCCTAGCACTCATAGTAGGAAAAAAAACTAACCTCCTGTCTTAAAATAGAGATATCTGGCTTTTAGACATGGTCCTGTGGTTTAATATACATGTTTTAGAGTGTTACACGAAGTCTAAATTGTATCTTACAAAACYAGTCAACCCCTGGTAGCTCTTTTCCTCCATCTTGGAGACTATAACAGAATTTGTAGTGTAAATTACATGATCAGGTAAGTTACAGCCATGTGCCCTTCCCACACACCACACCTGCAGGGCAGCCTGAACACCAGCTTTCACATCCCTGTCCTCATCTTCCAGCACACAGCCCCTGCTGACAGCACTGGTGAAGGAGTAGGTCCTGCCCCAGCTGGAGGAGCGCTTGTGTCCRGAGAGTTCTGAGGAAAGCTGCCAAATACAGCCCGGTTAATGACACGGCAGAAAGGAACAYTCAAACAAAACCATTGCTATGGTCAACAGCAAAAACAGGGAAATTGTCATGGCATACCTTCATTCCTACAGGGTATTCCTGTCTATTACTTCTTAATTTCCAGACTTGGAATTTAAACATCCATAAAAGTTTTAGAAGGTATGTTATTTAAAATACTTAACACCACTTTTTGTTATCATATGTTGTAGCAACACTTAAATTCAAGTCTGGCAATAAATTATTTACAAAAATGAAGTCAAAACCTTATCATTGTCACTGTTGTAYAAACCAAACACCATCTTTAGTACAAGAAAACTTCCCTTTAAACAGTGTCACAGTATCAACAAACTTTTACTGATAGTTCAAAACAGGACATTTTTAAAAGATGAGGCAAAAAACCACCTTAATCTCCTAGATCAGAGTCCAGCTCCAAATATTTCATCTAGTATATACAAATTTGTACATATTGTCAAATTCCTCAGTACCACCAAAATGAAATAGTTCTCCATTCCTTAGGATAGCAGACAGCCAATTTTACCACTGCAGAACCCATGAGTGTTTCTTCCATGAAGTTCCTGCTGTCATATTTAAATATGCAGGGAATAACCACAAATGATGTTTCTCAAACGAGCCGCAATTCTTCCCAGCATAAGTSCTACCAGACACTAGCTAACTATTTCAATTGTGAGCCCTTAAATAAAAGCATTTTTAACCTTTATTCTCCACATTTTTAAATTATAACAAAGTGATGTGAAAGTGCAAGCCTATATTGCAGGTGGACAGATCAAAGTAAGGAACAGGGATACCATACATGTTTACCATCTGTTTGCACTGAGGAGTCTTCCAGGGGAACAACAGCATCCTGACTGTCCTCCTTTTTATCTGGCTCCTCCATGAACACGGGTTTCTCTTGCAGTATCCACTTCTGATACACCTTAACCACCTTCCGTGTTGCAGATATATCAGAAGGTGGCAACAAAAAAGCCTAAAACAGAAAGTTCACTGATTTTACTCTATATAGGACACAGACATGAAGCATATAAACACGTACTCACCATCATTCACACTGTCATTTGAAGTCACGTACTCACCACCATTCACACTGTCATTTGAAGTACCAAGCTTCAGCTCCCACAACAATGCCATAATCTTATTGTTAAAACTAGATCTAGGAAGGAGCCCACCCTAAAAGGCTTCTGCTGTGATTAGCATCAAGTTTGCCCAGTTACCAGACCCCCATGGTGTCTCGCTCACAGCCATTTCCTTTAGCAATAAAAAAYGCAGGAGCAAGCAGCCCTGGGAACTGACCTGCCGGAACACCTCATTGACAAAGTTCACGTATCCCCGCGTGGAGAGGAAGATCCTCTGCACCATCTCGTAKACGCTGCGGTGCTGCTCCTCGATGCTGCAGAGGCTGGAGTTGCTGAGCCTCCTGTCAGACAGGGTGCTGCTGTTGGAGTGGCTCCTGTCCTGCTCACCTGCGGGTGCTGCGCCACTCTCCAGCTCAGCAYTCTTATCCTGGCTCACGCTGACAGTCTGCACAGAACAGCACACACCCCATCAAACACCTGCAGCAGCATCCACCAAACCTCTGGGATTCTGACACAGAGCTTGGGATATATTGTTTGGCACAACAAYGTGATCCTGGCAGTCAGGCAGAACAATTGCCACTCTACTGTTCAATCCAAGAAGGAATTTGGTTTTTCTCTACAAATCGGACACTTGCTATGGAACACAACAACTGACTTGAACTGTCCATTCCATACTAAAAGTGTGGAGGAAAGCACAGACACAGTAGAGAGGAATCCCCAAGCCCCTTTATTTTGGGGAAAAGATGGATCGTAGCACTATGGATTCTTGCACATGATGGTGCGTAACACCTTTTTGCTAAGTTTTGCTCTGGCACTGTGTGTATTTTGCAACATCTCAAACTGTGTTGCTTCTCTGCTGAGCTCATAGCTGACACTCATCCATGATTCACAATAGAATGGACAAATAAGCTGACATTGATTCTAAATTTTTTAACAGGAAGCTGGAGAGTCTCTCAAAAGCATCAATTTATAAAATTCATTGTGAAGCATCTAATACTAGAGACATCTCAACCAGTTTATAAATGAAGTAGTTCTTTAATATCTCATTATAAACAGCTGTTATAACTGCGAGGAAAACAAAGCAGCCTTTGATGTTGCTGGGAAATGGTCCATGGAACCACCGAGTATGACAGTTTACAGAGTAAATTCCAAAAGTCTAAATATAATACTGCTGAAGCTGGTAATGCAACAAGTTATGACAGGGAAAAAAATTTCTAGTGAATTACTGAAGAGTTTTCCTTGGAGATTTCCTCCTCCATCAAAGAAAATCAAAGAAACAGTTACATCATTGATTCACTATGGGGTAGCATTTCTTTATGCTGTGCAATAAGATCATTTGCAATGCTAGCAAGTATGCAAGAAGAGAGGTAAATTCTAAAGCCCACCTGAATAATTTTAGGGAGCATTTCTCCTCCATTTTTTGCATTCTGAACAGCAGTTAAATACTTCTTTTCAAGGAAAAAGGTAACAAGCCACTTGATAAAAACAACTCTAGCTGCCATGTAGGGGATTTTTGTGCAATAGACACTTTCATTGTTCCGTGTTGCAGTGACATAGACTGGCCTCGGCCTGATATCGGGGATGTCTGGTRGTTCAAAAAGGAAGAGAGAAACGAAGAGTAATTGCTTCCAAATTCTGGTTAAATGTATGGAACACATCACCAATCTTTTCTCCCCATGAAATAACAGATGCAATAACTGACTGTTTTAATTATAGCAATGCTTGTATTCCATCATAACTTTATCACTCCTAAAGAGCAGTGACAACATAACAGAACAGATCTTTCCTGGAGGTTATCATTTGTATCATTCAAAACGCAGGAAAGCAAAAGAGAAGGGCTGCAAAAGGAAAGGCAAAAGCTGAAACAAAGAACCACTCCTGCTACAATGCAAGTAAATTTTACATGAAACCAGGGAGAAAAAAAGTACTCATCCCACAGAGCTGTAGTGATACACCAGCAGGTAGCAGAGATGCTGCCAAGAGCAGACAATGGCTTTTTTTACTTTAAAGGCAAAATCCACTACTTACCAAGCACAGGTTTGTAGAGGTTGGTTAGCTTTGTAAAAGATGGAAACAAGTGCGGAAGATAGTATTTTCTGAACAAAGTAAAGAGAAATTTAAACCCAGTGTCTTGGTTCTCCTTGTTCTTCCACTCTAAGCTTGCAGCCTTTGTCATGGAGTTAAAGAGAAACGAACAAAAAGCTTTATATTAATGTGTTATACTGACAATTGTTTTGCCCTGAACACAAAAAAAACCCCAACAAACTAGCAAACAGCCCCAAACCCACCTTTACAAATTGCAAGAAGAATATAAAGTAAGAATAAAACAGCACCCCAAAGACAGGGAGCTCACTGGAAGCCGTTGTGTTTGAGCTGTTTTAATCAGGGAAGGACAGAAACTGCTGTATTGTGCTTTTAATAAATTTGCTTCTTATATATACATTTTGACAAAGTTACTTGGAGCTATACTTGTATAATGAATATTTTCTTCAGCAGAATAAACACAAATAAACAAACATTAGAACCACTATGCAACTGGATTTATAGCGTAGGCAGGTTTGTTTAGATCCCAAACATGTAACAAGAAGAGTGAAATTTTGTTTTTAACTGAAGTGTTGTGAGATTCTGATACGTAAAACAAAGGGTGCTGTGGAGGAAGCTGATAATTTCATTCATTCAGACACTTTTTAAAATAAAGCATTTATTCAAGATGACAAAACCCCTTCCAAATATTATTTTGGTCTTGCCTTTTCACTTTCAAAAAGTGTATCTCAAAGTATTTAATTATAATTTATCTTTTTTAATACCAAGTTCTTTAATGTTCATTGTCTACACAGCTTCCACTTTATTTCAAATGTTGCTTAATTTGTACGTTTTAAATATATACATTATCTTAATTTATTTCCTGCACAGATTCATCTGATCTATTTCTAATTAAATTTTATGTCCATGTTACTTGCATCCTTTTAAAAACATCTCAGAAGCCATCTCTCTTTATCTCTTCCTCCTGTGGTTCTTTACATTTCTTTTAATCTAGGTATGTGTCCAAAGAGAATAAATGGAATCTTTTCTCCACATCAATTTTCTAAATGCAACCACAAGCACACAGAATAGTCAGTCATTCTGCAAGTTTGGATAATACTCRTTACTTCTTAACACCAATGTGTGACAAACTTCTTATTTTCACCAAAAATGGCACCAGGAAATACCTTTGGAATGATTTTCCATTTAAAAACAAGAGTAAAAAAGTGCTAGGGAAGGGTAAACCCAGCTGCACACAGTTACAGTGTAGGCTGCATTTTCTACCACAAATACATCCTCCAAATATGAACAGTTTCAAACATACATTGTCCTCACCTGAATTACCATATACTTTAACAGGAGCTGGAGAAAATAGCAGGTTTGGTCTTCTGCAATTTTCTCTCCAGAGACAGCTGGCAAAAGCGGTGTTATTTCTTCCGGAAAAATCTTGGCTAAAATCAAATATTTTAAACACAAAACYATGAAAGCAGTGAAATAAAGGGTATTTTCTATTATTTGAAAATGCCCATTAGTGGACTATTAAACTGTATAATTCCAGTCGCTGCTCGGGTGTCCAAAGTCCTACCACATCCCATTGAGAATGGCACCAAATTCCTRGTGGCTTGGAAGGGCTAACACCAGCAGGTGAGCCAACAAGGTAAAAACTCCACACCTGCTTAAATGGCAGTAAAATGTTCCTACTGCTGCATCTCAGCTAAAAACACCCAACAGCCAAGCAGCAAACCCTGACCACTCACAGTGACAGGATCGGGTGGCTCTAGAGCTGCACCAGCACCATCCACATTGACACCTTCCCCAGGAGAACCATCYCTGGGAGCTCCTCACCGTCGGGTGCAGCAGGAGGGCTGACCAGGCTCTCCAGGGTGCAGGGCCCGCGTGAGGACGGCAGCGGGGGGAAGCCGGGCACTAGGCAGGCAAACATCAGAATCTGCTCCTCAGCACAGTTGGTCTGCAGGGCTTGAAGCCACAGCAGGAASAGGCGGATTCCTTCACATCTAAGCTGCAAGGGGTCAAATTTGGGGAAAAAGGTAAAACAGGTCTGCAAGTGCAATAATGCAGGTACACGGTTCAGAACAGGAAGGCGAGTGCTTTCATCCCAGCTATGTGCTAGTAACTCTTGCCATCACACCAAGGGTATTCACATTACCAATAAAACTTATGGTTAAAAGGTGACTAAGAAAAAATTACAAAGCCTAACGTTCTGAAAAACACTGACATTGAAAAGTTGCAAAGTAATATATTTCATAGGAATTAAAGTGGAAAGGAATATGAAAACATCAAAGCAATACCTTGAGAGAATTTCCAGTGTGCAAAAGCTTCTTCAGAATCGACCCTGGATTAGGAAAATTAAGTAGGCACTATCAGACACAAAGATGTGCACTTCCCACAACAAAATTTTTCAAAAATGTTCCATAAGAGGCTACTGTAATTCTATTTATGCTGAGGTCACTGCACTGCATTTTAAGGCAGCTACAGGGGGGAAAACCCCAACTGAAAATATTTACAATCACCATCACCCAAGATTAATTACGATGTATTTTTCCAGTGAGGTACTGTGGGTWTCATCAAAGGACAATGTCTCAAATTATTTTCATTAATAGTAAGATCTGTTAATTATGTAAATTCCTTAAATGGGCTTCTTCCCTCAAGACTTCACCATTTCACAGGATTGCATGGAAATTATTAACATATGTAGGAAGTACATATTAATGCACATGAACATTAAGCAAAAAGAAATCACAAGGCAGAGTGGCAAATAAATGCTCTGCCAAACTTTATAGATAATTTATTTGATGCAGGTAACAAATTATCCCACTATGACCACTCACTAGGAGCATAAAGAATATATCAGCTACAAAACAACTGACTGGAACCAATTTTGTCTGAACTAGTTCAGCTGAACCGTTATGAAGTGGCCAGCCAGATGTCTCCTCTTATTTTTGTCAGTGCTGAGTGGAAATGTGACAACAGCCCTTCCCTTGACCTTTAACTTCCGCTCATTGTTCTTCTGCAACAGCAATTCCTTTTTCTGATGACAAACATGGCAGCTGGTGAGACAGTGCCGCAAACCAACCCTAACCACAACAAAAACGTTCTACTTGAAAGGAACAGAACCCCCCATCAAATTTTCTTTAATATGCAGCATAAAAGTGGTACCACACTGGTGGCATTTGGAAGCAGAACTTCAAAAATAATAATGAATCCAAAACATGTGATTCAGAGGAAATGATCAAGTTAAACCACTTCATTAGATTTCAAGGTGTTCTGACTATCCAAGACTTCTCTCTACCAGACTCCTCCTATTCCTTCCCTTGTTCCAGAAGCTCCAATACTACTGAAGCTTGGGGAAAGAATGGTCAGTCTTGGTCTGAGGAAGCCACTTGTAGGTATCTTGTGTCTGTCATGGCCAAGGCCATATTCTAACAGGATGCTGGGAAAATCCTCCATTTCATRGTAATCTGGAAAAGACAGCTGGGGCCAAACTTGCAGAAATATAACATATTCATAACTCCACCCATAAGGACAGATTACTTATTAAAAAGAAAAGCTACTAGAAGTTCATATTTTTTTGTTTTAAACCATTTCTTCTTACCTATACTGCGAAAATGCCATCGATAAAAAATCCTCTCAGGTAGTAGCTGCAATATTTTCTGCAGGAAACAAAATTAGTCAAATTTTCCGTAATAAAACTGGCTCACCAGTGGATACAAAGAAACAAATACACAAGACACAAATGAAATGGGAATATATACACAGAGGACACAGTAGAAAAGCAAATACCGATCGTGGCAAGGACTCCTGTCCGCCACTTCACCCTAGTTGAGGAGAAAGACACATGGAATGGTCCTGAATAAATACCATGACAGTCTTGAATCTCTTTCCTTTCCTAGTGTCTGGAAGACCTCCAGCACTGCAGAACACCCCATAACTGCTCGTGAAGGGCTCACACATTTCTGAGAAGCTCACTGGGGCCGACACTTTGTGCAGTGCCTGCCACGACTCCTGCTATGGCTCAGGTCTGTTTCCATCAGCTGCCAGGCTATGATCCCTGGCTGAGGCACAGTGAACAGCGGGGCAGCTCCTGTTCCTGAGAGCTCCTTTACCTGGGCTTTCAGCTGCTCACTGTGACCGTGCCAAATTACACAAAGCCAGACTAATTGAATTCCCAGCACAGGCAGTTCATAAAGCACTCAGTGAATAATCCCTGGCCTGTCTCTGGAGTTGTGGGTTGATCCTACTGGAGGCACAGCAAACACARGGAGAGCTCTGGTCGAACCCATTCCGCCGCAGTTTGGTTACGCTACAGGACATCCACAGAGTGATTTCAGCACAAGCTTAAGTGCTTTCCTGAATGGAGCATCATTATCTTAGTTGCAAAGAACACTTGCGGTTTCCAAATGTTTTTTTTGTCACTGTTTTTTCAGTGGATGGTAATGCTATTAAATAAACTGGATAAATCAAAACTATTGGGGGAATCTTACTTGGGTAAATATCATTTTTAAAGGGACTTTAACAGCTCCAAGACACCTTTTTCTTTTTAAATTACTGGCAGCATGGACTAGGGCTTGGCAGGCAGGCATGGCAGTAGCACAGGACAGCTCACCTACTGCTGCTCAACCTTGCAATGGTCTGTGAGTACAGACAGGGCTACACACAGAGTCCACAGAAAGTGTCTGCATCTTACAACTTTTCAGCCATTGAAATAAAAAATTAGGAATATAAATTCAATCAGGAAAGCAATTTTAAACTTTTCCTTTTGAAAATCAAATTAAATTAAATGTTATAAATGACTGACAGTCAGAGTTCCTTGCAATTATCAAACAAAATCACTAGCACAAACTTCCACACAACAAAGCACCATTAAGTTCTCAGCAATACCACATGCAGGATGCAAATGAATGTTAAGTCACTTAAACAACAGTGACCTGTTTGTGGGTGTTTTGCACACAAAAGCTCACAAGAGGAAACAAAGCATCACAGCCCAGAAATCAACTGGCACTGTGCAACCCTTGGGAGCTGGGCGACACAAGTCAGCAYTGCTGCCAGAGCATGTGCTCAAGAAACGGAGCAGGACAGACCTTGTTTTTGACAATAAAGGGCTTCAGAAATTATATGCAATACTCAGAATAGTCTTTTTGGAAATGGAACATTCCTTTCTCCATGAAATTATGACAAGTTCATAGACATAGGGAGCTAGACCTCAGGTCGCAGACAGGCTGGTCCTCCTCCACCCCTTTACCATAGCATGTGCACCCCACACAATATTTCGCATTTCTAAAAGGTTAACCTTTAAAGAATAAAAATATAAACCAGGCATGTCTCTTCTTTGATCCTTGTATTTTGTTTCAGTGTCATTCCCCCATCTCCCTCCCCAGGACACTGTGGCAGCAAGACCCCAGGAGCAGAGGGCTGCTGGCCAGAGGTTGAGCTCCCTGTCCATGGGCAGGAGGAATGCCGGGGATGAAGGATCTGACTAGCTAAAAATGAGGTCATGACTCACAATAGGGCTTTACCTGTTAGTTAAGCACCAGGTTTCTGCCAATCAGATAGCAGGATCCATGAACAAAGAATTGTCATTATCCATCTAAACAAAAATACTGGCAGCCCACCACTCCAAATTATTTCTGACATTAATCATTACTTAACTTGGCACAGTGCAGAAAGGAACTTCTAAGCTAACCCAAGAGCACTTCTAACCTAACACAGGAAGTTGGCATGGGAGCTGGGTCTGTGCCCAGGCTCACCACAGGTTACATGGCCAAGGTGTGCAAGAAAAAGCTCCAGGAAACAAAATCCTATGACAAACAAGCAACAAAAACTGGGCAGGATTCAGGTGTCACACAACACACKGCAGAGATGAAGCTCCATATGTTGGCACACTTACTATGGAAAACTAGACAAAACCACACGTATTTTGTTTCCATTGTTACAGTCTGTTGCAAAGTTTCATCTAAATATGAACACAAATCTCCCTTCCAGAAAGTGAGCTGTGACAAGGTGTGAGCTGCATGAGCTAGTAAGGAGCAACACTCCATAATAAAGACCTGTTGGAAAAAGGAATTTGGGAACAACTTTCACAACCGAGTATTAGTGAACTTTAGGTTGTATCTAGAGAAAACCAGGAAAACAAATGATGCTGCAGAGCTCGAGAACAGAAAAAGAGCAGGAAAAACGAGCTTAAACTCTAAACCGGGAGGGCTGGAGCAGAAAACAACACACTTACTGTTCTTTTCTCTTTACAAAACACAGAATCCAACACCTTGCCAGGTGACTGAATCAAAACAATTCAAAGGTTCAAATAATCAGTATGAAGACAGAAACGCCTATCTGAGAAGAGCTCCCATATCCSAAAGTCTTTTCACATAGCAAAAGTACAGACACTGAAGCAATTTCCCCTGCATTCTCCTTTCCAGCATCTCAAAACCAGGAAAACAATAGATATATGTATTTTGAAAAAAATGCAAGGATGTGACTAATCACCTGCATGGTCCTACCCCACAGCAACTAGTCATCCTAAAAAAGTAACCTGTGTTCCAGTCCCTGTGCTACACACAGCACAGCTTTGCAGCAGAGCAGAGCCACTATAAATAATGTAAATGCAGAGCCCACACTTGCTCCTGCAAYGCAAAAATAAGTTACCAAGGTTCAAAGTCTACACTATTAAACACAAATTTCTGAAGGTTACAAGTTAMTCCCCAGTCCCAGCAGCACAACTTTCAACTGGTGATTTTTGCCCTRAGCTGTAGAGTTTATGGACTGAGGYGGTGTTGTAGTGTGACACAAGACTTCACAAATCATGAACAAGCTCCAGTTGTTYCCCTTGCAACTTCACATTTCCAGCAACATTTTCTACACCCTCCCCACCCTGGTGTTTTAAAGAACACACGTTGCTATTGCTATAAAACAAATGACAGTTTCTTCCCCTCCAGCCTAGGCTGTCAGCCACACTGCTGTGAATCCAAGCGGGCTATTGACATCTTGTTCCTAGTTTCACACTACACTAATAAGAAATATTTTAAGAAATCCCACAGTGCGAAATAATATTGCTTTTTCAGAAAACACACAGATCTATTTAATGCTTAGTGCTTTGCTGCATCTATATGGTAATCCATTATAGCACACTTGAAATAGAAATTAGGTATTACTACTGATCAACACATCAGGGTATCTGCCAGTTCTTTTAACTGATTATCCATAGTTCTTTTTCGTTTGGACTTCCTGCATGACTAGGAATAATGTTAAGTTTAAATCTTAGTTTACACAGGATACTGCTTTTTGAAAGCTGTATCTCTCTTTYATCGAAGTGAAATAAAAACCACCTAGGTTTGTATTTCAACACAGTTGCTCTGATTTAACCAAAACTGCAATTTCTTTTAAAAAGCCTTTTGTTTTTGCCCCCCTTGTTGAATCATACCATGACTGGCAGCTCTGTGCCTATCACTGAGTGCTGGCTGCCCTGCAGCAGGACACAGAGAAAGCTGAAGCTGGGACCAGACCTCGCACAAGATCCCATGGGATGTTTTCCAGCTTCACTGCCACAAAGGAACAGTAAGCGCTGCTGTTCTGCTGCACAGAGCTGCTCTGGACATGCCAGGCTGGTCTCTGATTAACAGCAGCCACACCAAAGGTGCTCCTGCTGAGCAAACTCACTCCTGGAGGCAGAACCAATGGCACTGTCAATGGCAAACCGACAGTAACATCCCTTCCAGGGGAATGGATTTGGAATTTCTATGAGTCAGTGGCAGGTGGATCTACTTTAAGCCAAGTCAAGGCAGAAGAGCTCTCCCAGGCCTCTGTGTTCAAGTACTGTTGGTGGTTTCAGAGTGTTCAATTATCGAAACATGCATCAATTTAGCCATTTTCCAGCTTCTGTTCACAGACTTGGATGAGCCAAGAGGCCAAAGGAATCAGTGGGACTGCAGCAGTTCAGTCTCAATGAAGGGATACATTTATTGCATAAATAAATTATTAATGAATTATCAATAAATTATTAATGTTATTATCTTAGATATTTGTTGAGAGAAAATGTCTGCCCTAAGCACACAGGGCACTTACCACTGCCCCAGGCATAATGAGAAAGATCAAGATCTCTGAAGTCAAAGATACGAAACATAGCTAGAATTCACCACAGAATGCTGCAAGAATAGCAGCCATGTTATTGGAACTATGTCAGAACGAGTTGCAAATGATTCAAAAAGTAATATTCCAGGTGTAGAAAAGTAGAGCTATAAGTAATTTTACRAACAAAAAAGCTCCTCTGCTATTCTACTGAACCTGAGGCTCAGCATTAACATCTGCACCAAGTTCAGGAAGTCACAAACGCCAAAAAGAACTTGGACTTTGGGAAGTTTTCCTACATCTGAAAATTTCTCAGTGTAAAATATTTAATCCAGTAAATGTGTTAGATTGTCGGATGAATTTTGACAGATGTGTTTTTTCTTAACTAATAGAGAATGGGAAGAAATTGATCTATGAATTATATCAAAACCATCMGTCTGCTTTTACTTCATTAGAGATTAAAAAACACAGTGTCATGGGAATCAGTACCTGATACTGCAATAAAAATACCCACTTTATTATTTAAAAAACCCCACCCCAAACATCACAACCAAATGATGGTACAATACTTCTACTGGACCCAGAAATTGGACATGAACACAGAGCACCTTCTGTAAGGTCTGTGACAGGGCTCAGAGCTTCCCTCAAATCACAGGGAACAGGACATAAGGAATAATGGTAACCTGTTCCGCAAATACACTGCAAATAGAGCCAAGCCTTACCAGAAAAAGAAATAGTGCATCACATAATTTTGAGCTTTTAGCTGAAATGGGGAAAAATAACAGTACAGCTGCCATATAATTTCACAAATATCTATTTGAAAAAAASACAAGGCCAAAGCACCTTAGAGAATATAAAGTTAGATCTAGGCATTTTGCAATATTAACCCTTCACATTCTTCCTTTCTGGTTAACATTTCTTCTTTGAGTAACATGTTGTTTGATGTTGTTGCTGAGTGGTCAAGATGTGTAGTTGACGTGTAAAATTAAAACTTTCATAAATTACTACCAAGCCAAGTCAGTTTCCAGAAGATTYGTGGGAAAAGGCTTTGTTGCCCAATATACACACTAGGTGTCACTCCAAAACAGCAGYACAATCCCACTAAACCACCAGAAAAAGCAAAGGCAATCCCCTCATAAATATTTTTATTGCTTTTTAAGCTGTTAACCCTCAGCACCAGGACTCAGGATTTGTTAATCCTAAGTAACTACCTATTTAGCTAATTAGAAGAAAATGCAGCAGTCCCCGTGCTCATGCTGACATCAGATTAAATATGGAAAGCTTAACAATCAATTAGTTTTGTTTCCTATGGCTTAGAGTATGAAAGTTTCATCACTTGGCATTTCTGTGTCCCTGTCATGTGCTGAGGCTCTCAGTCTGTTCTCCTCCTGTGACTAACTCATCCAGGGTCAGCTATCCAGGGCACAGTCCCTCCAGCAGATCCCCACTATGAAGGGAATCACTCCCAATTCCACAACACTTAAAGGATTTTCTCTCCTCCAAAGATGTGGATGACCAGGCTGTTGCACAGCTCTCTGTCACCGGGACCCCCAAGCAGGCCCTGGTTCAGACAAAACCATTTTTTTTTTCCTCATTCAGACAGCATGCTCTCCCAATGTTTTAAAGGAGTATTAAGGAGTAGTTATACCCATTTCCAAGCCCCAGGAACACCATTATTCACCCCACCCAGATGAGCACACATTAGCTATTTGCCATTCAATGACACAGAGAGAGAAACTTCATTCCTTATTCAAGGCCCCAGAGTATTAATGAGCTGCCATTAACTTTGAACAGCCCTGCTCAGTTACACAGTCACACTTTCTCTGCTGAGTTGGGGATGGAGGAGGAATAGAAGGAAGAGTTTCTCCTGCCCCAAACAATCCTGGCAGATTCATGAGCTTGTGTTCTTTGACACTACCTCGGGCACAACCGTAAAGCATACCTATATTAATGTCACTCATAGAGTGGGGAATGAGGAATAAGAGGAAAAGTGAGATATCAAAATGAGAATTCAAGATCACAAAACCCCCCGATGCCAGGTCATCATTTTCAGGACCATTTATTCCATCACAGGCACATTAGGCTAAACAGCATCATTCTTCTTGTCAYCATAAATACCACTCCAATTACAAACTACTCATTAATGCAAAACCATGAAGCCACATACTTCTGAGGGTTTGGTGGTCTTTTAGAGGGAGTGAGAGGAGTTGAGAACAATTAACCTTTGTTTTAACTTCAATTTCTAGAGTCYCATTGAAGGTTTGAGGGTTTTTTCCCACCAAAAAAATCCCTAAATTATAATCAATGATAGTTTTTCTATGATGCAATACTCAAGTAAAAAGTTAATAGTTGGAGTAACAAAGAAAAGATAAATAAAAAGAAATCAATAGATGGTGTGTGTGTGTAACCTTAAGAGAGAAATCTGACCAATTATTTACCTAATCAACTGACCCAAAAAAGTAATTAAAGRTGCTTTCTGACTACAGGGAGAGGCAGAGTTTAGCCTAAGGATTTCAGTGCGCATTATAAGAACATTTTTATGTGTTAGGCTTTCATCTGTGATGATATTCCAGTGATATTTTCTCACATCCRAATATATTTAGGTAATAACTCCAATCAAAGAGGCACCTTGGAAAGCGGTCTATCCTAGACTATTCTTGTTTAAATTAAAGGAATCCTAATTTTATTATGCAGAAGTTAACTAGGTAACATTTCCTATCCAGACACTGCCAAATGCTCTGATGGCCAGTGCTGGGAAGGAGGGAAAGATATGCATCTGGAAGTGAAAGATGTAATACTGAATTTAAAAAAAAAAATAGCAAATTAGCATTTCACACACTCAGATCAAACTAATGTGCAGTAGTTGACAACTCCTATCCTTTTATTTCCTTTGTACTGCAAGACCAAACACAGCAACCATAACATATGCCTCCATCTGAGGGGAGCAGAGCCCAACCTCCTGCTGTGACACATTCGAAATAAACATAACCCTGAACTTAACACCSATAGAGAGGAGAAAAATGCTGCTGTTCTGAACTGCCCTCCCCATAAAACACAGAAGCAAATCCTTGTTTAATTAAAATAGAAAAAACAAGAGAAAACTGCATTTTTGAAAGCTTTATCCTTACAGAGTCAACGTAACTACTGTTCATGTGCTCTCAAATTCTACCAAAAAACCCCAGCTTGTTTCCAGAGCATCAATCCCCAGATCCTCAGGACACAGGTGTTCCCAYTGGATTTCCAAGGCATTTTGATAGCATCTCCTAACTCAACATATTCATTTAACATTCTCACTGCAAAATCAAGTTGCTAGTTTTGAAAGCTTCAAGCCCCTTTCACCTCATGCTACAGTGACAGACACCTAGTTTCACCCCTCATTGCAAAGTTCTAAATAAGCACAGAATGACAATAGATTTAAAATACAAATTCATTTTCAGGGTATGGAAAACTTACTTCAAAAAGAAAGAGGATGGAGTCCAGCTCCTCCCTTTGTGATTTATTCCCTGCAAGACACAAAACAGTATTTTTTTTGTCGGAAACATACAGTATAAGACAGCAAAATGAGGCTGTTGTTGTTCTGCTGAARTCACAGATGCCACACTCAGTTTATTTTTCATCTTTATTTAATACCCCAAGTGTGAGATGGGTGATGCCTCTCTCTGCTCTGACCACATCTCAGCTGAGCAGAGGGAACTGYAGGAGCCCAGAGCAAGGTGAGAGTACGTGTGTAAATGCTGATATCTGATCAGCTGCTGCTCTCATTTCAGAGAGTGATTTTCCATGCTTGTCTCTCCTACTACCATAAAATTAAAATGATTAATACTAACACTRTACTGCATTAAGCTATTACAGATATCTGAGGACTATACAATCATTGGACAGACTAACAAGATGCTCTGGAGCACAGTTATGAACACTGACCAACAGCTGCTAGAAAAACTCTAACACTTACCTTTTTGTTTCAAGCTATTTTCCAGTGTTATGAAGTTTTCATAGAATATAAAATAAATTTGAGAATAATTGTTGTCAAAAAATTGCTTCAGGTCACTTCCATCTACAATATCTGAAAAGAGGAACAAACAGAGTAATGACACAAGGGCAGAAAGACAAGAATTTTAGGCATTCTGCAAATATAKCATTAGAGAATGAAATAAATTCAAYACAAAACTATTTTACTGACTTCACTGAGTATTCTGTACTAAACTGTACATCCATTCATGCAATGAAGATAAATTCGGTGAAATTCCTGAGACTGCAGTGGGGCTTTGATTCATTTGCTTTCCATTAAAAAAAAAAAAAAAAAAAAAAAAGGGTGAGTCTTAGCTCTGTAACCAAATAACCAAATGGCTTCACTACTGTCAAAACAAGCAGATACTGCTGGGGAAAAACACCAGCAAAGATTTTTGGATGCAAATCGAGCTCTTGCATTCATCTGGCAAGCAGATCAAATTAGAAACCAGCATATTCCCAAATAATTTCTTAGAATAATGGCAACTCAAGCATGTATYACTTTCCTAAGTGTTAACTTGGGTCTGAAATTTGAAATAAGTTTATTTTCTACAAAGAAAAAAGTCCAATGGTTTCTAAGCCTGATACTTGCCAAACAACAGGTTAATTTCCTCCCTTTGGTCTTCAMTACACTGATTTGGTCAAGCAAAGTTAAGTGATTTCACCCAGAAGTAAGACAATGAAGGGTAAAAATTATTAACATCCTGTCTCCTCACTGAAGCCTCACCTTGCAAGAAACCCATTCATTACCCAAAATAAAGCCAGCAAGAAGGCTCAATAATATCCCATGACTACAGAAGAAAGAATAACTTTAGCCCTGGACAACTTGATTTTAATTTAAATTAACACCTTTCCAGCAGYAAGGCTTTGCTTGGCTGGTTGTACTATGGAAACAATTAGTGCAGGGAAACTCTTTAACATGATATTTRTTTCCTACAAACTACTGGTCTTGAATTTGCAAGCTAAGTGCAATTATTCCTCTCCATGAATGCATCCTGTTAAACACAACTCCAGGGGAAAACAAGGCTTTCATTTACAGGGATTTCATATGAGGGAATGAGGTCATTAAAATCTAAACAAAAAGGAAACTTTCCCTCTAAATTGCAAAGGGAGGAGAAAGGAACTGCCTCACCAAGAAAGTAAATTCTCCTTTTTACTAAATGTGGCATCTCAGTGGTGACTCACGGGCGAGTCTGATGTGAGTTGCATCCTTACAGCCACAGCCCTTTCTTACAGATGTGTTTAACTTGTAGCAGGACACAGCTTATTCCTGCTTCTCAAATGGAAAACATCAGGGAAAGTTTCCTGTGCTATTTATCATTTGAGATAACAAGATCAAATCCTTACTGAAGGAATATTTATAAGTGCCCAAGGAAAGGAAGCAGCAAGCTTGGGACTGAATTGTGGGAATTTGGGTTTATTTTTGTACTTACTCACAAACAGCTCTCAGGTTACTACAGCTGCATACAGGCACCCAGCACTTACACCTCAGGCAAGCATCAGCAGCCATCAGACCCACAGCAGCTTTCCRAATCCATGTAATTCACCCCATCCCCAAACAGGGACAGGTGATCCATGGGCTCATGGTTCTAGTCAACACCTGACAGTAGCTTCTGCAGTAACACTCAAGAAAGACTGAGACATTCCTGAGGGTCACATCCTATTTCTTTGAAACTAATAGGACATGTTGGCTCACTGGATAAGTCACCCTGACTTGCCTTACCACTTAAATTTAAAATTTAGGSTAACACTTGGATGCCACTTAGTAAGAGCCTGAGTCTATTGCCAAACTCTCATTGCTCCTCCTTATATAAAAAAAAAAAAAATATCCAGAGGGGACAATAAGCCTGTCCTTAGCACACTGACTTGCCTTTTATTTTCCTGTTAAATGTTGCCACAGTAACTTGTTARAAATCCTCCCTTAATTCCACAAACTTCCAAAGTGACTTCACTTCATGCTATTTTTTCAAAGCTCTCTTAATCCTCAAGTACTTGAAAAATTAAGGTGATTAAGAGAATTTCGCAGCCACACCCTGGTTAATGATAAACTTTTACGACTAGGCTCAGCCCAGAAATTATGTACAATTCTTACTTATCTTCAAAAARAGTATGTCATCATGAAACAGACTGTCACTAAAACACCCCTCCAAATGGAACAGCTTCCAAAATAATGTTAATACCTCAAATTTCACATGAGCTCTATGGAACAACACCAGCTCTGAATTCAGCAGGAAGTCTGTACACATCCCCTTTGGATTGTCTCTAAATGAAAGCTTCCAAGCCAATATTACTCCTCCAGCTGTACAGAACTGCAAGGCCAAGCAGTGCCAGAACTGAAACCCCACTACTCTCTTTTATAATCCCATTTCTGATGGGGGAGTTGAATGAAAAGKGTGAGTTTTCCTAATAGATGGTTTTTTTTTTTTTAAAGACAAAGGTTAGGAATTGCACTTGGCAACCTCACAAATTTCATATTTAGTCTTAAGCCTGTGTGTCTCCCATATATTTGCCCACTGCTCAACAGAGAAAAGAACAAGAGGACTGCACAAAGAGCACCCCACATTTGTTAGCAGCAGTACTCCAGAGACTAAATATTTTAATTGGGCCCGAGGAGAAAACATTATTAAAAGACATGTTTCATTAAAAAGCAAATATTTTTACCCAAGAATAGCCACAGAAAAAATTCTTAAGGCGCAGTGATCCATTTTTATGCTACAAAAGTRCCACAGAAACCACTCTGGRAAAGAGTAGRGGTTTCGTTCATGGTCAGGCAGTGSRGAAGAGCCAAATCTGTACATCCCCATCATGCTTTATCAGACCATCACTTTTCAAGTCTACCTTTAAAAAAAAAAAGGCCACACTACTGGCACTTCCACAAACTGTATTAAGAACTTTACCAACTTTATAGATAATCTGGCCATTAGGACATCTCTACAGCAACAAAAAAAGGAAAATGTTCTTGTCATTTCTCAAACACAAATGAACATCCACTTTTAAGTTCTGTTGTTACTCTGAGTYGTGTTTTGTCCTGCCATGCAGACAGAGCATCCCATAGAGCAGGAACTCAGATCTTAAAAGCCATTTGAGGCTTGAGAAATGTTATAAGCAACACCAACTGAAAGAGAGTCGTTTCTTTCAGTGTGGCCACTGGACAGTTTTACACAGATGCTGCTAAGAGACCTAAAGCAATCCAAAGCTCACACGAGCCTTATTTATGGAAATAGACATTCCTTTCCCTCATCCCTCCCCTATGATCATTTTCCCTCTGATCTGTATMCTCCTGCACCAGTGGGATCACAGAAGAGTAACTGACATTTTGTTTACAATTAAATTCCCGTGATTTAAAACTAACAAAGGAAGCGGAGTTGGCATCTCCTAAGGAAACACAAGAGCAGGAGCAGCTATTTGGGGAACGTGCGGCACTATGGCCCAAGTAAAGCAGTCGGAGTACCAGACACACAAACTCCTACCCCAGCCAGGGCAAAGAGAGACGCACCTGGGGAGGAGGAAAAACTACCCAACTACTTTTGAACCTTTATATCAAAAGCTTTGTTTTTCTTAAATACCAGAAAGGTTCTTCCTATGTGTTGCTTCATTTTCCGTGCTGATCAGTACCATCGCAGACAACCTTGCAAGGGTATCTATCAAGATAGCATCTTTAAAAAAAGCCACTCCCATACTACCTCAAAATGTTTACRCTGGTGTTGCCAAAGAGCAGACATCCCGGGAACATACCCAGAGCCTGCTCGGATAGCGCCTGCAATGACCAGCCAGGCAGCTGGACACACCACAGCCCCCAGGCTCTGGAACAGCCTTCACCTTAAACCAGCACCCAGAAACACCTTTAACTAAAAAGTCACCAATTGTAACAGTGTGACAYCAGGCCACATCTGCCCAGCATTTTGTCCAACTTGACCACTCGCCCCCAATCAGCTACTTAAATGCAGATCACAAGGAACAACTGGAGCATATCATCAACAATCACTCACACCCGGGACAAATTTGCATCACCTGGAAATCAGCAGGTGCCCCAACAGACTAAAAGGATGCGGCCTTTTTTCCCCCCTCGGAGAGCCCTCTCCTCCTGTATTTTAGCAGCGAGCATGAGGCCACCCAAACCCTCCCGGATCAGAGCTCACAGCTGAAACATATCAACGGCTTTCCACGATGATAAGGGTGAAAGGCTTCACCTGCAAGGTGCCCCAGACACGTTCAACCTAACCCCAAACATGTAGTCACCACAAAACACCACGCATATTGTGACTTTCTTTAAAGTTTAGAAAACCAACAAAAAACGCCGAATCAATGTTACTGACAAGAGTAGAGTTTCTGCGAGGGCATCCCCCAAACTAACAAGGGATGTAAATTTCCCTTCTATGTCTCACCCAACTCCACAGTGCCGCACCACGAGCACTGGGACAGAGGCAAATASGAGTTTCCAGAGGCACGAACAGCAGAGCGCACCCGTAACTTTCTCCTGCAGCGCCTCAGGAAGGGCACGCACCGCCGCCTCTGCGGGGGAGGCAGCTCGGGGAGCCCCCGTGCCGTTGTTGCCCGGGAATCCCAGGGCAGAAGAGGCTTTCTGTCTCCAGCAAGGCGAGCTGTTACCCCGGTTTCACTGTTGTCTCACTCGGACAGCACAGCGGAGGGCGAGCAGCCCCCACAGACCCGCCCGCGGCCGCGGCTCTGCCCGGGCACCCCATGAGGGAGCTCAGGGGCCCGCGGCCGGGTCCCCTCGCGCCCGCCCCTCGCGCCCGCCCCTCACGAACCCCCCGCTCACCCAGCAGCGCGCGGAGGTGCTTGAGGCGGGTCAGCACGTCCCGCCTGGGGTCCAGCGCCTTCTGCGTGGATTTCCTGACATCGGCGTGGCTCTTCCTGGAGAACATCCCGGCGGAGCGGCTGGCAGGGATGCACGGACAGCCGCGGGGATGAAGGAGCGCCGGGAGCGCCCCCGCCGCCCGCGCACCGCTCCCGCCCGGCCCCCGCTCTGCGCTGCCGCTGCGCGGAGCGCGCCGGGAGCTGCCGGCGCCGCCCGCCCCGCGCTCTGACGTCACCGCGGCGTGGCGCTGACGTCACCGGGGCGGCCGGGAGCCCGCGCCTCACGCCCCGGCGCTCTGTGGGGCTCCCCCGACACCTCCGCGCCAGCCCCGGGCCGGTTCCTGTGGGCACCGCGCCCGCAGCCGCCGCCCAGGGACCGCGGGATCCCGCGCTGGCGGTGCCCGGGGAACACCCCGGCCCCGTGAGGCCTCAGAGAACCCCGCGAAGCGCAGCGGAGCATCCCGAGAGAGCTGCCGGGGCAGGGCGGCCGGAGCGGAGGCGCCGTAGGGAGCTGGCTGTTAGGTAGGCTCTTGATCTATCATGGGATCACAGAAMCACAGATTCGGTTTGGAAACGCCTTAAGGCTCATCTCGTCCCATCTCTACTTCATCGTCCCATCTCACCTTCCACTATCCCAGGTTGCTCCAAGCCCCGTCCAACCCAGCCTTGGACACTTCSAGGGATGGGGCAGCCACWGCTTCTCTGGGYGACCTGTGCCAGAGCTTCCYTACGCTAACAGGAAGAATTTCTTCCCAATACTCAGTGGAAATCTCCATGGGAAAAGATTCAGGTTTTGAATAGCTGCTTGCATTGTAAATATATAAATAATAAGTTCTGTCTTCACACACAGGGAAGGTAAAACACAGAGCAGGCTCATAGTTACAYAACAAAAGTATGATCCATCTCAGAACCAGAAGCCAGCAGGGTTTCAATTAAAGGCCCTCAGATCCTCTTAGTACAATTCCTCGGTAAAAAAAAAGTAAATTGCAGTCAGTTTCAAAGCAGGCTGTGGTCCTAAAAAAGAAAGCAATGTGTTTCAGGGAAATTACTTGCATATATACTTAGTTTTAAACAAAATTACCTAAAAGTTTATACTCACATAGAAATTATTTTTTCAGCCATGAATCGGCATAGAAAATAAAATGTCACAAGAATTATTATTGTTAGGAGCAGAAAATATATCGCTGCCACATATCGCTTCCTCTGAGCCCTCTCAGGGATCATTTCTGCTGCAAAGGCCTGAGGTCACCAGAGCAACAGGTCAACAAGTCCTAAACATGTCCCATTGGGGAAGGGATGGTCCCAGATCCTCCACCCCTGGAATGGCCATATGCATGTRGAAGCAGGAAAGGCTCTGGGGGGAAGTTACAGTGGACAAATAAATGCATAAATAAAGAAAAAGGTTCCAAGGGGCTGTGGAGGGAGGGGCTGCAGGCAGTGCTCCTGCATACCCTGCTTGTGAGCAAGGCACAACTTTCTCCCTCTGCAGTGTAGCTGGATTCTGGAAAGTACAGAGCAAAGGCTGGCTGTGCCGCCAAACCCTGTGGTAAGAAGTAAGAAGTCACTTCCTGGAGTCAGGAAGATGGATTGGGATGATGCACAGCATTTAAAATGAAAAAAACTCATTAATCCATTTTCTTAGGTCGAATGCACAGCCTTGGAGTCAGACACAGAAAATTCACTGCTGTCGCATCATCCCTCGGCTTGGAGCCCGGCTCAGGCTTACGGTAATTCCTACTGCACATCCTTCCCATCACACCATGGCACAATGTCTCCTTCTGGAGCAGTTACCATTCTGCAAAAATTGCCTAAAATCTTGGGTCACATGGTACAATTTGAGCATGAGCAGCTTTCTGAGAAGAGTGAGTTGGGCTGTTCTGGCTTTTCCCTTCCCTTGCCACAAATCAATTTGTGCAGTTGGCTGAGAAAGCACATGGCTGAAATCGGCTTTCTGTGTTTATTTTTTTCCCCTTCCCTTTTATTTTAATTAATTTACAAAATGAACAGCTTCCAGTTTGGTGGAATTTTGGTGATTTCTGATCCATGTTTTTGCTTTTTTCTTCTTTGTTAAGAAAGGAACCATTGCGGATACAGGAATTGTGGTTATACAGCTGCTCCGATGCCTGATAACCTGTGTGATAACCAGGGGAGCATTGTGGTGCTTAGCAYCAAACTGCATAGCTTTAGGCACTCRGTGGTGTGAAGTTTGCCAGACATTCTCTCTGTGAAAAGCTCCAGGGCATGTAGATGCCATGCCTGGAATCAGAGTGCTCTAGGACAGTCCTTGCTCTCTCTTTTAGTTCAAACATCCTCAAATATAACTTTTCAAATGGTTCACTTAGGAGTTGATATAGGATAGCACAAGCCAGAGATGCCAGTAAACCTGCAGTAGTGACTTCAGCCTGTGCAGGAGAACCACTTGTAAAATCCTGYGACTTGTGTTTTCTAACAATACATCATTTGCAATTTCCCAGAAAGTCAGATGATACATTTCCGAAAGCTGATGCTTAAGGTCGAATAATTTCCTGAAAGAGATTTGGTCATTCAACGTTCAGGATCTGAGGTAAAATCTATATAAAGCAGTCAATTAARGGGACAAAGCAAGAATCACTTATGGCAGAACTGAATTGTTAAAGATCCCAGCACAGTGCGGTGTCCTGAGCAAGGTGACCATACCAGCAYAGACATGGCAGCATTGGGYATGGATTTGGTAATCCTTAGGAAARTCCTTCCTTGTGCAAGACCCTGCCTGCCTGGCTGGGTGTGGCAGACCCCACTCCTGGCTCCACTGGAGGAAGACCAGCATCCCATCAGCCTGGGGGAGATTTCTGGGGCTTCATAGCACAGCCAAGACTGACCAAAGGGGAGTGCTGACCTTGCAAACGCTGTCCCCRCGGTGCCTGCCCTGCCAGCCTGCTGGCACAGCCCTGCCAGCCTGCTAGCACTGCTTTTCAGGCTGCTCCGACAGGAGTTTCTATTTCAGGCATTGCCTTAAGCAGTACAGGTGAGGGGCAGTGCATTCCCAATCCAAAATAGAATGGCCTGAATTATTAATATACATTTGCAGTATAGGCAAGCACACTATGCCTTAATTGCATGGCTCATGCCTTTCCTTTCCCCCCATCCTGGAAGCAGCCTGCTGCTGCAGAGTTCATGGAGTTTGTGGAAAGGTGACACCGGCTGCCACCTGAATTTCACTGGACCTGATGAACAGGCAGGGTTGCTTTTCCCGTGGAGTCTGAAATTTTAATGGCAGAGATTAAATTACGGAACTTCTCCACTTACTTGTGTCAATATAACACTTTATACTGAGCCCAGGAAAAAGGTAGGGGAAAAGTAAATACAGGAGACTTGCCTCCTGAACAACCTACAGGTGAGGTAATGGCGTAGAATGCCAGTACTGACTTTCTGTCCTTCAGACCAAATGCTTCAAATTGTGTTTAGAAAGTTGTTTTTGTGTCYGCTTGCATGTCCTTGGTCCAACACATCCATTAAGGCACCTGAGCTTCTTATTCCTGTATTGTAATCGGCTCCCTTGACGCTTCCTGGATTAGGTGCAGGGGCTTGGCAGAGCCTTAGTGCTGTGCCAGCATGCTGTGTAGGGAAATGAGGCTCTGCCCTCTGCCTGATATGACTAAACATGTGGAAAARWCTTTTCCAGTCTGARTTTGATGGGTGATTTTCATGCATAYAGGCAYGGGCTCCTGCTCCTGCAAAGCTCTGCTTTACACTCAAAACTACACAGTTAAGTGCTGAATTTCTGCTATGTGCCTGATTTTCTTTAAGTCTGGATCCTGMAGGCTGCTTTCCATGGATTGACTTCTGCAAAGGTTTGTAGTTTTGCTGAGTTTATGGAAGCAAAGATGCCTCATCCATTGAACACTCACRGAGGGTTTTCCCCAGGCCCTCTTATTCGGCACCTAAAGGGTTTCTCACTGTCCCTTGGCCTGTTGTACAGGGACTGTGGTGTGTCCCAGCCTTTGGAGGGGCTGGCAGTACAGAGGAATCTAGGAGGGCTGTGACCAGTTATCCTCATTATCCCTGRAGGGGAGAAGGGCAGTCCAAGGGGGCACGGTGTCTGCGGAAGATGTTTCCCAAGGACATGTGCAGCATTCTCGGATAAGCACACCTCAGCCTGCCAGCTTTCCAGTAAACAGTTAATTATTTAGCTGGAGTTACTTAATCCTTACTTGGAAGAGTTGAATATTGACTTTAGGAAAAGCAGGCTRCACCCTCTGGTCCCCAAAAGTCCATGCTCCTTGGAAGAGCCACAGCACATGGATCTGGGCTGGTGTACGGAGCAGCAAAATCCCTCTGCTGTAGGGCCATTCAAAAAATATCAAAATACGGTGGATTGGACCCAAGCATGTCCGTGGCTGGGAACTGGACTTTCAGAAGTTCCAACTCTGGAAATCTGGCATAAAAGAGAATGGATCTTTTGGGTAMTGGGCTATTTAGGAAAAACCTTAAGAAAACTTTCTACCCTTTGCAGCATATGAGGCAGACAGRTGTCATTCTTATAGTAAAAATGATAGACAGGAGGAAGCCACTGTCAAAAAACCCCATCAGATTTCCTTCTGCCAGAATCTCCAACTGTGTAGAGAGGGAAAGGGAATGATTKATGTCTACGGATGGAAAAAAAATCCAAAATAGAAAGAACAGGGACTGCATGTGTCCCCTGATACCTTCCAAAAGGAAATGGTATGGAGGATGTGGAAATTTCATGGAGTAAAAATATCAACCCACTAAGGAGAGCTCAGAGTACACTTGCTAAAGGTTGAACTGCATGAAGAGCTTTATGGCATGTTGTGCAAGCCTGTAAGCTACTGCTCTGGCCAAGATCTTTCAATGAGGAGATGTTTCAGCTCAACTTGAGACTGGGCTAAGAGATGGCTTACACCRTAAGAACAGGAAAATCATCCCCCTGCTTTGCTGCTCCTTGTGCCACGAAACAGAGATAAAGTGCTGCTTGTCTCAACTGCACTAAATCCAAGATAAGTGTTGTTTACTTCACCCCTCTCCAAGAGGAAAGGTCACTCGTGATCTCGGTGGAGCTGCAGCAATTTCCTCCTGGCAGCATTCACCTCTGGCCCCGCAAGGCTGAGCTCCAGGACCCCCCTTCCCCTCCTTTGGGGACACGTGTTAACCCTGTCCCTGCCAGCCGTGTCCCGCTGCTGTCCCTGGAGCTGGCTCTGAAAACACAGGCACAGTGTGTGGGGTCTGAAACAGTGATGAGATGCTGACAGTCAGACTTACAAAAACACTTCTGCTACTAGGAAATGATGCGCAGAGGGTGAAATAAAGGTCACTTGTTCCTGCAAGTTACAGATGAAGGGTTCTGCCATCTGCAGTAAGAGTCTTTGTTTTCCTCTTGTCCTCTCCTCAGCTTTYTTGCATTCATATTGCCATATATTTACCCTAAACTCTCTTTTTTGACTGAACATTATGTTCATGCTTCCATTTTCCTCTTATCTTGTGCTAGCTCTTTATCACTCGGAGGAACAATAAATGAGGAAGGAAGCAGCTGACTGGRATCGCCCTTAAGCTGGGCTTTGTTCACATCCAGAATGACCACTCTGATTGTTTCAACCCTGAGTGTGGTTTGTTCTGACAAACCAGGCTATGTGATATCTTCAATTCTCCTTCTGAAGAGAAGATCTCAAATTCTTTTTGTTCATGAGAAGAACAAAAACTCCTTCAAATTAACCAGTAGCACACAAAGCAACCACTGGCCACTGATGTTCCACACATTTTTCCTTCTTCCTTTGCAAATGAATGACTGCAGAAAGCAGTGCAGTAATTATAGCCTGCAGAAATGGCTCAGGTTTTTCTCCATGGACAAGCATGACAAAAAATAATAAAAAATAATTTTTACCAACACAGCTGGTGTTCAGATGAAATTATGTGGTTAGCTTTGAAACGATATTAAAAGAGAAATTTTAATTAACCTGTACCACTGAGTCAGAAGATAATATCTGATGCATCTAACAGGCCTACAGACAAAATATGATAAAATAATTATTTGCAATTAGATATATGCATTACAGACAATGTTGTAATTAAAATGTACTTAATGTCACAGGAGGTCCCTTATTATCAAAATAATTTGTAGAAGGACTGTGGAAACAATGTGATTATTATCCATCCCTATGGAAAAAAAAAATCCCAGAATTTGCCAAGAGCCAACATCTCAGTATTTGGAGCAGACACCAACATGGTCCAACAGCCTGACTCCTTGCTCCCAGTGCCAAGTTCTTTTTGTCACCAAGGTGGGCACAGGTCACCCATTTCTTGCTGTGCTTGTKTTCCTCAGTCTCCTGCCAGGAGGGGATGTCCCTTTACTGCCACAGCTCCTGCCAGGAGTAGATGCAGTACAGGTCAGAGGAGGGAGAGATGCCACGAGTGCTGCACTGTTCTTCTGTGGGGAAAATGGATCTCTTTGTTTCATTATTTGCTTATTAGCTGCAGCAGAAAGGAGTCRTCAGTTTACTGGGTCTGATTATTTTCCTACTGTGGCCCTTCCAAAGCACTTGGGCCACAAAAGGGCTCAAACCYGAGAAAAAAATTACATTTATACTTGCTTGATACTTCATTTTTGCATCTCCTGAGGAATTAGAGTAAGAGCCTGATAAGTACAACCCTGTAAATCTGGGGGAATTGCTCAGGCAGCTCTGAGAGCCCATCACCTTGGGAGCCACCTCTTCCTCAGCCTGAGCCAGTCCTTGGA